CGGGCTGAGGAAAAGTTGGGACGCATGGTGCCCACTACCATGGGGGCCTTGCGGGCCGAGTACGAGGAGGACATGATCCGCGTGGCATCCATGGGCGCCATAGCTAAACCGGATGGGAGCGTGAGGCCGTTACACGACGGGACACACGGAGTTCAAGTGAATAATCACATTCACCTTGTAAATCAACTTGCTGTGCCCGGGCCGGCCGAGATGGCATTTTCGGTGCGGCAGTCCGGGGCGATGCTGGAGGTGCCACTTGCCGTGACGGCCGATGTCAGTGCAGCCCATAGGCTGGTCCTTCACAGGCGCCGCGATTGGGCCTTGATGGCATGTCGAGCAGAGCAAGGGTCCCAAACGGTTTGGATTAATAAAGTAGGGACTTTTGGAATCAGTGCGGCCTCCTTCTGGTGGTCCAGGTTGTACGGCATCATAGGCCGAGTCGTCGCCAGGTGCCTACTGCAGCATGCTTTCTTCCACTTTGCCTACGTCGATGATGTGCACCCGACCTTCTACGGCCGGCGCATGTACACCAACTTCTTGGTCTGGTTGATCTTGCAGGAAATGATTGGGGTCCCGTTTGCATACCATAAGTTTAAGGGAAAAACCTTGGTCGCCTTTATCGGGTATGAGCTGGATTACGGTTCCAAGCTGATCGGCTTGAGCGAGGCCCGTGGGGCCTGGGTGAAAGGGTCGAGGAAGCGCGCGGCGCGCGCTTTGTTGTGTCAGTGAGAAAGTTTTCAGAATTCTTAGGGCGCCTCGGTTTCATTGCTAGGGTTGTCTACTGGATTAAGCCCCACTTAGCACCGCTTTATGCCTGGGCTGCTGCTGCATCGAAAAGTCATGTTGCAAAGATGCCAGACACCGTCATACTGACTTTGTTGTACTTGGAGGCGACCCTCACCGATATCAACTTCAAGGTTGCACCTGGGCGCACCCGTGAGGAGAAGGGCCACCTCTTTCATACGGATGCAAAATGCGATGACGGCTTTGTTGTGTTAGGCGG